TCTGAATTTCGATATATTAATAAAATCGATCGTTTTTGTTCAGTTGTGGAACACATTCCATAAACGAGACAATGTGGTGCCGGCTTGCCAAAGATCTGTGGAGAACTTTGGACTCGACTACGTGGATCTCTATCTGATACATTGGCCCATATCTTATGCGGTAAATTAATGGATTTTTTACAGTAAGCTGTTAGTACCCAGATGGCAAATGTATTTTAGATTAAGACATCATTACAAGATGTCTTAAAGCAATCTTTAAGATGTCTTCGAGATGTTCGAAATATCTTATGTCTGCATTTTGGACACGATGTTGTCTGAGCAGCATCACGCAATGCTGTCATATTGCCGACAATGCAATAAGGTAACATTGATGCAGTTATCTTGCCATTAAACTGTCGGCAATATATGTACACATTGTTGCCTGCATATATATTGCTATATAATGTCGGTATATACTCGAAATCGTTGAAGACAAATCTATGGCAAATTGCCAGCATTATAAGCAATCACTTTTTTGTGCGATTTTATTGATGAGATGTACGCTTTGCTATCTGGATAATAGATCAGAAATCAGGAACAAGTTGTAAACAAGTTAGTGCCTCATAAGACAACGATAAGTCTGCAGTAATCAATCAATGATTACCTGAAGATAAATTGTATAAGAATTTCATTTCTCATACAATTTAAAACTTAACTTACATAACTGATCAATCACAATCATAGTGTATTGTTATTTTCCTTGAATTACCACCCTCTCAAATAGTACAGCAGCGCTTGCAAAGCACTAAAAAAGCGATTATTTGCTTTGTTTGTATAACGCTTTACAAGTGCTATGTGCTAGCTTGGGCTTCTGATTGATTAAAATATTGTGATGTAACAATCTAATATGATTTATTCTGAATGTAAGTTTCCCAAGATTTATGACTTATAATTCTAAGTTATTACTAGTACGATATAATAAGTGCGATAAACGGTTTATTGTAAAAAAAAACCCACGTACAACATTTTAAGGCTTAATTTTAACTTTTTTTAAGGTGTTATGCAATTGCAATCATTAGATAAAAATATATTTTTTCCTATTCCATTGTTTTTTTTACTATCCAAGGTAAAAGTTGTTGATTTTGAAAGATAAGAAACACATGATAAAGAAATACGAATGTCAATAAAAATATAGCGAAAAGGAAAAAAGATAAAAAGTAAAAAGCAAGAAACAGAAAGCAAACATTGTAAATTAACTTTAAATATCGCACAATGCGAAAATTATATTGTAAACGAGTTTTGCATTATGGTAAAAATTAAAATCGTGAGCATTACTGTTCCTGCTTACGCCGCGTTTATTTTAGGAAAATGCGGACGGATTAATACCGGTTGACGAAAACGATGATCCGATGTTCGGAGACGAGGATTTTCTTGACACGTGGTGCGGTATGGAGGAGTGCGTGAAATTAGGTTTAACGAAGAATATTGGCCTTAGCAATTTTAACTCCGAACAAATCAACCGCGTGTTATCGATTGCCCAAATAAAGCCGGTAATGAATCAGGTGGAATGCCATCCGAATTTGAATCAGAAAAAATTGAGAGATTTTTGTGCGAATCATAACATAGCTATCACAGCTTATAGCCCATTTGGTTCGCCTAATCGGCCTTGGGCTAAACCTGGCGATCCGAAAGTTATCCTTGATGCACCTGAAATTGTAAATATTGGCGCTAAATACGGCAAAACTCCCGCACAAATTATTCTGAGATACTTGGTGAGATGTGCTATTATTAATTAATGTTGCACTGGGTGTACTATTATTAATTAAGGTTGTACTGGATGTCTCTTTAATGATATAATTCTTGACTGACTTAGGTCCAATTTCACAATATACAAAGGTATACAAAGGTATACCAAATAAAGATTAAAGGTTAACATATGTTGTGATTTATTATTTTGTGAAAATAACGGGTCTTAGACGATCTTTTCGTTACGGACATATTGAAACATCAATTATTTATTTTTTATTTATAAGCAATTAGAAAAGAAGGAATTAAATTTGCAAATCATTTTTAGAAAATCAAATGGACAGCAAGATGACGTTCTCCAATTATTTTCAAATGAAATGTTATTTAAGAAAATCTTAATTAGAAGAGTAGGAATTAAAAGTATGCATGGTAAAAATTGGAAAGTTGCAATAAATGATAAAGAAAAATTGATTTTTCAAATTGGTCAGAGAAAATTTGTTATTAAAGGGATATTCATTTATTAAGACACTTTATAGATTGAATAATTTAGCAATAATTTTTTACGAACAGGTTGATATTAATACTATACCAATCCCAAAATCTAGTTCAAAGAAGCGTATCGAACAGAATATTAATATCTTTGATTTTAAGTTAACTCCAGAAGAAATTGCTATAATTGACAAATTCGATTGTGGCGGACGTATAGTGCAGTTTGAACAGTATACTTATTTTTTAAAGAATGTCATTATAGTGCATTCCCCACAGCACAGAATTTGCAGCAATTTTACTGTAACAAGCAATATTACTGCAATGTTGCAATAGTGTTGCTGCAACTTTTGTGCTGTAGGGATTTTAAAAATCTAAATAATTTTCTATTTTTTCAGATATAAAACACACAAGGAGTATCCTTTCCACTTGGAATTTTAACTGAAAGCGTCTAACTGGCAAACATGTCTTAAAAAGACAATCAATCACTAGAGAATCAACATTATTGCACAATATTTGATCATCTGAAGGCTGTGTAGTTTCCAGTCTGTTGCTTTTATTTAGATAGAGATATCAATATATTATAATACTATATAAAATAATTGTACAATATTATTGAACATCTAAGAGCTTCTTTAGATTTTTGATACAATCTAATCACCGAATCTAACAATTGTACAATATTGACTTATGTAGAATAAATCCTATGTTATACACATAATCGAATACTTTCAATCTCGACTTTTTTATTCTCAACCATTCCTTAATCTCGAGTAGTTGAGACTTCATAAAATGGATTCCTTCTATTTTTCTATTACTTCTAGGTTACTTTATATATATATGCAGAAAATTATATAATGATTACGCGAAAATTATTCTGTATGAACTGTGTTAGAATACGCGCAAGTAGTTATAAAAAAAATAAATAAAGGATTTTCATAATCGATTATTCATGAATCGATTATTAATGCACTTTAACCATATTTCGATATTTATTTCTAAACAATCTGTTATTATCTGAATTAACATACATTTCATAATTGTACTATAATAATTTTTTATCATTATATAAACGTAAAATATAATATATCGCGAATAACATATCATAATATCGTAAAGTATTTTTTCAATATTGTAGCATTATCTAATCTAGAATTAAATATTATTATATGTCGCAACTTGTTGAAGATCTAAGAAAATAAGAGATAATATTATATCACTATTATCGTCTCTTGATGTTTGAGATTATAAACGTGACTCTTCTCTTTTACTTAATCGATTAAAAATGAAAGGATTGCATTAAAGATGAAAAATTGCAAATTGAATTATGTAATATAATACGTCTAACAAATAGCATAAATGAATCAGCAGAAAATCACTGCGACATATATATAAAGCGCGTGAAATCATAGTCAAGAGTGAGCGTTAATATTGTGCTGGTAAGGTGCAGGAATGTGTGCTTCTTATGTTGTGTTATACATGCGTGAAACAAATTTTCTGATTTTTATACAACTCATAATATATTTTCGTAATAATTATCTTCGTAATAATTAATGATTTCAGAAAAATGGATTTATTGTAGAGATACGTTTAATTTGGAAATTGTATTATACACTATATTCTAATAATTAAATTATTAAATTGTATACCTAAATATTATCTGATTTAAAAAATGTGATATAATGTGTTTTTCGGCTTTAAATTTGAACAAGCGGCTATCTATTCGACATAATGCTTAAAACATACATATAATATGTATTTCATCGATTTTTTTCATCAAGTAATTCATATCTCTTTAGGCTATTCTTTTTGGCTGAACTTTTACACCAGTTCATCTTTCTTCTTCTTTCTTCCTGAAGAGAAAAGGAAGAAAGATGAACTGATGCAAAATTACAGCTAAAAAGAATAAGCCTTCTGTCTTTCTCTTTGGGCCAGTCTCATCAACTCCGATTAACCTAATCGATCGATTAAATGTCAACCGTGATTGGTCAATTCTGCTGAACAGCAAATGCAATTGATCAGTTCCAATGTAACAATCGACCGATTAACTCAGTAAACGAGAATGGATTAAAATGGATTGAAATTTTTTTTCTATCCGAATGTGTATTTTAAATAGCGAATACTTTTTTTGGATTTAATTGGATTCAATTGGATTCAATTAGATTCAATTGGATGCAATTGGATTGAAAAACTGCATTTCCTATTCAAAATTTTGAATTGAACAGTATTCACAATGCACACACAGCAAAGCTAATATTATTTTTAGATTGAAAGGCATAGAGATATGTTCTATGCAATTCCTATAAATGAATAAAAATGCATTCAGGATTGAAAAGCATTCATTTTAACATTCGTGAATCAATATTTCTGAAAATCTGAATCCATTTCAATTCATTTCAATCCATTCTCGTTTGCTGGGAGGTTAATCGGAGTTGGTGAGACACCGGTTTTCTATTCCTTTCTTTTCTCCCTTCTATTACATAAAGCTGTTACTATATATCTCTAGAGATGTAGTGTGGTGTGTGTGCATGCATGTGTGTGTGTGGGCGTGTGGGTAGGTGTGTCCTGCGTTCGAAAATACTGCCAAGTGCCGATCCAAATATCATTTTATCTTTGTTGTGCACCGAATCTTAAACAAGAATAAAATGATACTCGGACTACTCGGAGGTATTTAGGTAGGGGTTTTCGAACGCAGCCAAGGCGCAATCGTGATGTCTGTGTTTTTATGTTACATGTGTGCGTACAGTTATTTTAATTCAACGATACTGGTGAGTCTGGTGGGTGCTCGTGAGGTGATGACATTCGAGAGATATATATAATAGAAAATTAGCTTATTCATTGTTAGGCTTTTATTTCCAGATAATAATTCTTGCACCGCAACACGCAATATTGCATGTGTGCCTATCGATACTGTGAATTGTGTTTAAACGATATACTTGTCTAAAGTGTTTCATAATAGCCAAGGACTCAGTTGCGCTGTTGCTTTGACGGCCTTGCACACATTTCCTGCTGTTGCATACACCTATTTATAATCTGCAATCGGTGATAACAATGGCTGGTATTCCGACAATTACATTTTCGAATGGATACAAAATGCCGATATTGGGCCTCGGAACTTATAAGGTACATACCTATTTTATAACAAGAGATAGAAGTAGATATATAAAATGTGCGAATTACATCATGAGATATTATTTTACACGTATTTTATTTGAATTTCAAACGTATCGCAGCATCCACGTCAAAATAGAAATCGAGCAATTATTCTTATCGTATATTATTACAATGATCTATACTTAACAATAATCCTATTTATTTTATAATACAATTTTTATTTAATATTCTTACTAGGAATTTCATTTTTGTTTGACAAATCTACTTCATTCAAGTTAAGAGTTGCAATTCGTTTCTCTCCCGCGCACAGTTCTTTTTTTAGGACGTTCAGGAACGTGCGAGGGAGATTTTCCAAAGGCGTCCAGGATAATTATGAACGCGTCTCTCTCTCTCTCTCTCTCTCTCTCTCTCTCTCTCTCTCTCTCCCCCCCCCCCCCTCCCCCCCCCCCCCCCTCTCACCCCCCGGGGTTTTAGACTATTTTAGAGAATTTTAAATTTTATCTAAGAAAAAAAAATAAAAGCTACGAGTTAAAGCAGTTGTTAAGTGCTAATAATTAAATTTTAATATTTAACAATTCATTTAAAATACAAAATTACATACGTTTCTTCATCATGTCATCCTTAGAGTGTAAAATAAATAACAATTTAACTGATTAAAAATAAAAAAAGATTGCAATATTACAATTAATATATAAAACATCGTTAAATTTCGTAAACATATTAATAAAGATTTTTAAGGTCATTCGAATTAAAAAGTTGGTAAAGAAATTCTCTTTTCCAATAGATGGATTAAAAATATATAGAAAAGATTGCAATAATATAAATCAGTTAACATAAAAATATCTAATCGTTAGAGAATCTTCTAAATTTTTTACTTTGATTTCTTTCCCGCGTTATTCTGTATTACTTCTGATTTACAATAGTCATCCTTAAGCTGTAATAAGAAACTGACCAATAGCAGTTGAATATGTGGAAAATAATCGACTATACATAATTAGTCAATTTCCTACATTAAATTAGTACCGCTAATGGATAAGATATAAAATAATTATTTGTTTATTGTTTTGATTAATTTTATTAACCTGCATGCATTTTTATGTACGTCTGGGATTTCAAGCGAAATGTGTATTTCGCTTGTAAGTTTTAGTTTAGAAATTTTTGATATGGCGACCTTACCCAACATAATTTGTACTTTGTTTTTCTTCATTTTTGGAAAAAAATAGTCTCAGATGGGGGATGTGAAAAGAGCTGTTAAGGACGCAATAGATCTAGGATATCGTCATATTGATACAGCTTTCCTTTATGGTAATGAGAAAGAAATTGGGGAAGCTATTCGCGACAAAATCAAAGATGGTAGCGTGACCAGAGAGGATCTATTTATTACCACAAAGGTGAGATCAATGCGTAAGCATTGAACAAAATATGAATATTTATTTTAGCACTTGCTAAATTTTAAATAATTCATTTTTTATAAGAGACACAATAAACATCAAAATTTAAATTAAATATTTTGTAAATTTAATTGTATTTGTTTCGTTGCAGTTATGGAACAATTTCCATAAAGAAGAGCAAGTCGTCCCGGCCTGCAAACAATCGTTGGCCAATCTTGGTTTAGATTATGTGGATCTCTTTTTAGTTCACTGGCCATTTGCTTTCAAAGTAAGCATTTACATCAACGAAGTGAAATAGAATGAAATAGAGAAAGATTTTGTTTTTTTTTATTATACAAGCATATTCGGAGTTACACGATAATGAGTTGATTTCCAGATATATATATATGTGTGTGTGTGTGTGTGTGTGTGTGTGTGTGTGTGTGTGTGTGTGTGTGTGTGTGTGTGTGTGTGTGTGTGTGTGTGTATAACTATACAGCATTATCTAATAATTGAGATTTTGTTGTAAAAATTGAAGTTAAAAAAATGTATCAGTAATTCTGTTAATCTGTAAAGTGGAGTATGCAATTATATAAATGATATTTGTAGCGTTTCTTATTAATATTAAGAGTGATTAATAATGGTAAATATAATAATGGTAAATCTTATTTACGAAAAAACAGTCATAAATGTTTAACGAATGAATGTTTCAACACATAATATTTATTTAGAGATTTATTGTAGGAAGGAGATGATGTATGGCCTTTAGATGCTGCCGGAAATCTTTGCGATTCGGATATCGATTATTTAGAAACATGGAAAGGAATGGAAGAGTGTGTTCACCAAGGCTTAACTCGCAGCATCGGAATCAGTAACTTTAACTCCGAGCAAATTACCCGTTTACTCAAATCGGCTAAAATCGCCCCAGTTAATAATCAAGTATGTGGTATCATCTAAATTGTTTCATAAATTTAATTGTATTTGTTTCATAATTATTGCATTTTCTCTGATTTGCATTTTTGAGCGAATTAATTTATATCTTTTTAATAAATATTTTTTTTTATGTATATTTGCAAAACATTTTTAAAAAGCTAAAAGATCTTATAGTAACGTAATTTATATTTTATTTTAATTTATCATATTAATGCTGCAAGACTTACTAATTAAAAAAATATTTCATTATAGATTGAAGTTAATGTAAATGTAAATCAGGAGAAATTAATAGATTTTTGCAAGAAACATGACATAACGGTAACTGCTTATTCTCCTCTGGGACAACCCGGAAATGTATCGGGCATCGACAATAAATTAGATAATCCTATAATATTGCAACTTGCAAAAAAATATAATAAGACGTCGGCGCAAATAGCACTTCGATATGTGGTAAGAAAAAAATTTAAGATTGTTAGAATTGTTTCTTTTTAATGTAATTAAAATAGATGTATGCAGTCATATTTTATTTTTATAGTATCAACATGGAACTGCGCCAATACCTAAATCTGTAACTAAAAGTCGAATTAAGGAAAATATGGAAATTTTTGATTTTACGTTAACATCTGATGAAATGAATGCTATTCGTAAACTCGGCACTGGACAGAGAGTAGCATTTTTCACACCGTAAGTAAACCAATGACTGTTAGAATATGCAAAGGTATTTTACATTTTATCACATCTTCTTCCATATATGAATATTTTAGAACTTTGAGATCTTTAAACATTTTTTAAAATAACTTTGTTTCTTGGATAATGTATGTTATAAATTTTAATTTTAAATGAATTGTAAATCGTATTCAAATTCAGAACAGAATTCTACATACAATTTTACATGTCGTGTAAGCAAAAAATTATTGCAATTTATAGATTATTTAAAATGGACTTTGAAGAACAATAGATATTAGATAAATATTCGAATGATGTATATATTTTTTTTAAATAACTGTTTTGTTTTTATGTTTTAGTGCGAAGAATTTTAAATACTTTCCTTTTAACATTCCGTTTTAAATCAGTATAAAGAGAGAAAAGAAAAAGAGAAGAAGAAAAAGAGGAGAGAGAGAGAGAGAGAGAGAGAAAGAAATGAAATTTTATATATATATATATACTATATATATTTATATATATATATAGTTTACATTTACAATATATAATACATGAAAAAATGAAAAACTTCGAAGAATATATATGCATATACAATGCATATTTTAAAATATTTTCTTAGTTAAAGCTGTTTTTGCCTGAAATATAACTTTCAATATTTTCAAATGCTATAATAGTTATTTCTTTCTTTTGATAACCCATACAACAAACAAAACAATAATTAAGAAATATATTAATTAAACATTGTACGATTTAGCATAACGTTTCTTGATATAACATGAATAATTTATTGAATCTAGAAGACAACAGGAAACGAGTCGTAACGTCGAAAATGATTATATATTAGTATCCCCTTTAAAAGCGCACTCGAAAGCGCATGTTCTCACGACGATGTTTGAAGCTCGCTCGACCCTTGGTCTAACCAATTACAATTATTGGACGCTGCAAAAAATTTCAAGGTCTGGACCAAGACCACTCGCACAAATAAATTTTTCGTCCGTTCCGTACGACACGTGATATATCCGAAATGTTATAAAGCATTTTAATCTATACTCAAAAATCTCACGTGCAGCAATTGATAAATCGAGATAGAATTGCTGCAGAACTCCTGACGGAAAAATCCAGTGTCTTGTAATCTTATTTCAATTATCAATCGTTATGTTTTGCAAAATGATTACCATTTTTACACAGTATAATCTTTTATATTATGAATTGCATTGCTTATGTACTCGAAAATTTTCCAATTCATTTCTATCAACAAGTAAAAGGAAGGTATTGGAGATATTTTAAAATATTCTAAGAATATTTTGACCGTTTTTTTTTTATGATGTGCTAGATGTAACCACAATATACAGTAATTATGTCAATATCCTTGAAGTTAATATGTAGCTTTATCATATATTCATTACATGTTTTTTTTTTATGAAAACTTTTATCATTTTTGCTATTTTATAAATCTAAAAAATAAAGAATTTGGAATAAGTAAAAAAATTATAAAGAATCTTTCTCAATGAGAGAGTAAATAAATCAATATTTTAAATTGCATTTCTTTTAATCCTACATATGTGTAGCATAAAAATTCTCAAAGCGATTTTGAAATAATGGACATTTTCTAAGATATTGCTCAGAAAATCAAACAGATAGGAGCTGACAGCCAATTGTACATTATTTCAAGAAACTGGTTTCTAATCTGGTTTCTAATCTGTTATTGTTATTAGGATTCTTGGAAGGAGTCGAAATAAACAAACTTTAACAGAATGCTTCACATACGTAATACTAAACTATTTCACATTAAAGTTGTTTTTTTCAAAATCATTTTTACAAAATTGCAGGAAACTCGCATTCCGGCCGAAAAAACGGCTTAACTAATTGATTTTGCACAAATATTATTAACATTTTTTTTGGAGTTTGTGAATTACAATTTGTTTATATTTATCATTTAATCTTTTCTTTTTTAGAAAGATAGCGCTCGAAAAAAAGTTAAAAATAAAAACATGATTTTTAGTTTTGCAGTCATTTTGTTAAATTCCAATATTTTAATCTGAGATTGCTTTAATATTTGCATATACCGATGTAGAATATTGGTAAAAAAACTAATTAAAGTATTTTAATTATAAAATCGCTGGGATTTTTCCAGCAATTTTTATGTTATTCATCTTGACGCGCAAAATTCAAAGGACTAGGAGAGAAAGTGGAAGAAGAAAAGTATATCATTTTATTTCTGAAACCTCTAAAACAAAACTTTCTATTAAAATAAATAAAAAGTTTCATTTTAAGGATGTTTTGTACATATTTTAAAAATTATGAAAAAATTAGATTATAATAATAAATTACGTTTAAAAATATAATACGACAAATTTGATGACGGTTTACTACCTAGATCGTAAGTTATTTTAATAAATAGAAGTATTTTTTTAAATTTATGCTATAATAAAAATATATGGAAATGTATTATAAATTAAATGATAAAAATCTCAATGTTTTAATATAAGTACATAAGTATTCAAGATTATTTATGTAGAGTTATATTAATTGTGATGCATGAATTAGTAAATAAACAAAATATTTATTTGGTGTATATCTTTACAACTAATCAGTGAATTGCAATAAAACTTTGCATAAATTATTTTAAATATTTAAAGTACTTATAAAATTTAAATTTTTTATAATTTTTCAAATTTTAAATAATAAAAATAATAAATAAAATAAATAAACTACAAAAATATGTTATTAAATAAAAATATTATCTTATTCGTACAACTTTCATACGTATATAGATTATATAGTTTATTTGAAGTAAATATTAAATATACTATACTACTAAATTTAAATATCTTTGCAGGGACTATATATAATTTATTAACATTCCACTTCCAAATAAATAGTCAATTAATTTTTAGGCCCCTATAAATTGATGAAGAAAACCTCTTACATATCTTTACCAATTTTTTAAGTAAAAATTTTCATTTATTTAAAAAAATGCAAGATCTATGGATATTATTTAATGTATAATAAAATAAAAACGAAAACAAGATACACATTAGAATAGTTGTAATTAAAAGCAAGTTTATTTCGCGATAATTTCGCCATATAACCGCCGATACATCAACTTTATTAAATGCTAGATTACTGTGAATGAAACTTTGTTCTTCCGTAAGGAGTCAAGGGCTCGATTCATTGCTCCAAATATTCTAAACGATATCGCTGTAACTTTCAGTGCCGGATAGCCGAATTCAGTCACCACTACACATTTGAATTAATATTAGTACTGGTGACTGTTAATATATTGTGTGAGTATTAACGTGCATCAGCAACAATATCGTTGTTATGTAAAAATCACGAGACACATATTCTCACCAGAATAAATATTTTTTAAAAGATTATTATTTTTTTTGAAACAAACAAATGATAAATTGCATATCTAACAATCAACGTACTGATACATAATTAATTGAGATCAAAAAGCTATAAAAATAAGAATTATTTTAAGAATAAGATTAATAATTGCGTAAAAAATTAATAACTGCGTTAATAATATAATTAAAGGCTGCGTTCAGTAGAACGTTTATTTTGTTAGGAAACTGTTGGAAATTTTCTTCGCGCTGATTGGCTTATGCTTTTAGATAAAGAGAGGAATGTTCTATCTCAAAAAATAATCATAAAATGGTTGTAAACCATGTTCTGTTGTGTTCTGCTGAAACGCAGCCAAAGTTTGAGTACGCAAATGATGAATATACAACGAGCTGAATATAGATTATGAAAAATTTTCGATGCGACTATCAAACCTCCGATGCCTGCACACCAACATAGATGCACATCTGTAGTCGCAGCAAAATCGATTTTGCCGTTACGAATCCGGTGACCGGATCCTCTTAGGGGGGGACGTTTATAAAAGGAACTGTTCGAGACGAAGCCGCCAGCAGTATATCGTGCGTCTCACTTGGACTCACTGGGAGTTTCCACATAGCAACATCCGTAGATTTTCATATTTTTCTGTAACGATTGCTGCTGACATAAAAAGTAAAATGGTTCTGACTGCACCAAAATTGAAATTTTATAACGGCTATGAAGTGCCTATCTTCGGTTTAGGCACGTGGAAGGTAAGTTCTTCTTTTCTTTCTTTTTATTTAGTCAATCCGTTGTTTAGTCTCGATGATTTCGTCGAATCATATTTCGCAGTATATATATTATTTTATATTTTCTCTACATGAATTTGTTTCTTATCTGAATGATGCAGCTCTTGTATCGGCAAAAATTATTGAGCTAAATTCTTGTTTTCGTCAAACGAGATAACGGCAGATATAATTGAATTAAAATAGTCAACAATGCAGTCAGCAAGATGTTGGCAATTTTCCTACAAATTGTTAGCAAAAGCAATAAAAAATTTCAGCAAATTAGCATCAATATCTGCATTAAGCTTTTTGTTTAACTGACAAAGTTTGTTGACGTAATATGAGAGCAATTGTCAATTTGTTGATCAATTTAAAAGTTGTTAACAAACTTTGCATAGTTTTTGTCGACAATTTGTCCCCAAAGATTTTATATATCTGTGTCATTAGTTTGCTGATTTCAAATATATGTAAACAAAATTTGCGGTAAAGTGTCTTTTCATCGACATTTGTTTTGAAAAATTTATTTTGAACAGACTTGACTGACTGGGTAGTTGAACTTCCATGATGGTGTAACCTATTAATAGTCGCTAACTATGTTTATATTTTGTACTTATTCCGCGACCTATACGATATTATAGATAGTTTTGTTCAACTTACAGGATAAACAAGGACATTTATTGTGTAGGCCGCGGTCTAAATGCGTTGTAAAAATGTAATTATTTCAAATAATGAAATACATTTTATTGATGTCAAAATTTTTATAAACGAAAGATATATATATGCTGACATTAAGATCAATTCCGAGATCAGATTTTCTGTAAAATAAAAATTATTATTCTGTAAAATAAAATTTAAGCTCCGTTATATTATTTACTACGAATACTCAACGCATGAACTAAAAATTTTCAGTATTTGCAGTAAATAACGAAATACAGCTTTGTAATCAAGGTTTTGATACATGTTACATTTCGTTGCGCAATATCTTTATCATTTAGCTACTACTATAAATTCCACAAATTAATCAAATTCATATCGTGAACTTGCGAAACCGAAGGTTCCTCCTGGAGAAAAAAGGAAAAAAGATGAACTGGTACAAAAACAGCCTCAGCTAAAAAAACAGGCCTATTGACTCGATAACTCTAATTTATGTAAATATCATTTTATCGATTTGTACGCTTCGGTTTCGCAAGTTCACGATATGAATTTGATTAATATCTATAAACAGTTAATCGGTTAAGTGTAATAAATCATTTTTATACTCATATTAAGGACGGAATAAATTTTATACAGTTGTTTATAAATAAATATTGAATACAAAACTTCACACTTAAATGACACA